CTGATTGACTAACAGTCAGATTGCTTCTTTATTTATACAGAATTTAGTAAGCACGGATACATTCCTGATGTTCCAAATCATAAATCATATCATTAATAAACAGTTATCATTCTTACTCATTAACCCTATAACCCAATTTTTAAGAATCTGGAGGCATATGACAGCCTGTTCTCAGGCTGGTAGCTTTGGTAGCTTCAAGGACACTAGACCAAAACAAAAAATCTTCAAGCTACCCTGGGAATTTTGCCATGCCCCAAGCAGTGTATTATTAACTCTTAATGGTCAGAGTGACCAAGAAAAATTGTCAGGCCAAAGCTGCTACAGTTTTTATTCAAATTCTAGCATAATACAATGTTTATATTTTATATCTTTACAGAATTTGTCTATATGGCTAATGCTGGCATTTTGTTGTTCCTTGGTCATATGATACCACAGTGACTCTGCATGTGCTAACTTTTCTCAGAAAAGGAGGTCCTGACCTCTCATTCTTTTATCATTTTTCCACTCCATATGTTGCTCATCAGTGTGTCTCTGTGTAGGGCAGAGGTATATGCCAAGTAATTGTCTGAGTGTACAGTGGGAAGAGGCTTATAATCTGAAATGTGGCCAACTCCTCTAGCCCACCCAATCTTGTTAACCTGTGGTGATATATTGTGTACCCTAATAAAATTTGCCTCAAGATCAGAGAGACAAAGGGACGAGCCACTGCCATGTCTCACCTCACCAATTCCACAAATCCTCTGACTGAAATGCTAAGTCCTCACCCGAAAAAGCCTCTATCTGAAAGGGATGCTTCTGCTGAAAAGCCTTTAGTTCCTTCCTGTCTCCTCACGTCTTATATTGCTTCAGGAGAAAGATTTTTAAATGTGACTTCAGATTACTGAACATGAGCAACTAAGGATCCTCAAGTTTGGAGGACACAGAGGACAAAAAACAAAAACAATGCTGGGTAGTGGTAGCGCATGCCTTTAATCCCAGCACTCGGGAGACAGAGGCTCTCTGTAAATTTGAGGCCAGCCTGCTCTACAGAGTGAGTTCCAGGAAAGGCACAAAGCTACACAGAGAAAGCCTGTCTCAAACAAACAAACAAACAAACAAAACAACAACAACAACAAAAACCCCCACAAAACAGGTCTTATGATGTGTAGAGAGAAAGGGTCTCAATGAGCTTGTAAAGCACATGGACTTCTAGAAGGGAGTTATTCAGGATTAGAGAGGTTAGATTCACTCCAGGGCAATGTCAGGGATAGACTTAGAAGCCAGGTACACAGTGATAACTCCATTTATGTGAATAAATGAAATCACCATAGCAAAGCTGGTAACAAAATGGGAACTGAAAGCTGAGGGTGGAACACTGATAAGATATTTACATTGAAGGAAAAAGCAAGGGCAATAAAGACTGAGGAGGAAAGGTCAAAATGGTGAAGGAACACAATAGCCAAGATACAAGAAGGAGTTCAATTTTGTTGAATTTGGGAAGAGATGAAATCAAATGCAGATGGAAATCATTTGGCCAACAAGAGGTCAAGAGCTCTGTATTACTTAGTTTTCTATCACTGTGATAAAAATATCCTGATAAAAGCAACTCAAGGGATAAAGGGTTTATTTGGCTCACAGTTGAAAGGTACATTCCATCACTGCAGGAAACTCACAGCAGTAGGAGCTAGAGACAATTGATCACATCACATTCACAGTCAGAAAGCAGAGAACAATGAATACTTAAGCTTAACTAGCTTTCTCCTTTTTGTGCCCTCTAGGACCAAAGTTTAGGGAAGGGTGCTGCCCACTTTTAGAGTGGACCTTTCCACAATTAATCTGATCAAATTAATCCTCCACATGTGGAAACTTCCAATGGAGGAAAGCAAACAATAGTCTTACCTAGTTATGACACGTATGAACTAGAACAAGCAACATGACACAAAAAACATAAGGGTGCAATAGTGGCACACATATCTTGATGATAACCAAAAACATTCTAGTTAGGTGTAAGACCTGCTCAACAAGAGAGAAATTATGACCTTGTACTGGAAACCTAAAACAATGCAAGGCGAGATAAGTCATGGATCTTGGAGGAGAACCTACAACTTCCACTTTCTAAATCAACATAATTCATAACTACATTCTCAATATTTATCCTTATACCCACAGATAAATGTAGTTTTCACCCATTATCAAAAAAACTTCTCTTTGCAACACATGGGGATCATTACAGAAAACTACAACTGATCAAAATGCAGAGAATAAGAGATTATGTGATGCCCAGTTCCAACTGATACATCTACAACACAATTCCTGCACCTAAAGCTCAGGGCTCATTTGGGAAGAAGGAGAAGAAAGATTATAAGAGCCAGAGGAGCAGAAAGCTTGCTGTTAATAGTGTTTCCAACACATGTCAGAGAATCTACACCTATAAAGTCTCCTCAACATGGATGCCCAAACAAGATACCTAACATGGAAATGAGAAAGCTCACAGGGTCTCAACCCTAAACAAAGTGCTATGGGTAAGTAGGAAATGCTGAGAATGGGAGGAATGGTCTTCCTAGGGGAAAGCTTCCTAATTTTATCAGGTGATCAGTCCTGAGATCATAGGTAACATTATATGGGCTGAGCAGGTTGTATTTACGTATTCAGAAATACACACGTGCGTGTGTGCGTGCATGCGTGCGTGCGTGCATGTGTTGTGTATGCATGCATGTGTAATAACAATTAAAGAAAAAGGGGGCATGAGCTTGAGAGAGGGGAAGTAGAGGGTGCATAGGAGGGGTTGGAGAGAGGAAACACAAAGGGGGAGAAATGATATTACTATATGGTAATTTTAAAGCTATTATTAAAAAATCCCACAGAGGCACTAATCTATATAGTCCCTCATAGGTGTTCCCAGAGGTTTGTTTCCCAGACAATCTTAAATTCCATCAAGTTGGCAATTAACACTAACCATTACCGGCTCCTTAAAGGAACTGGCAATAAAGCTAGATTTTTGGCATGGGCTAGATGAATAAATTAATGAGTGAGTTAGTGAAATTAGTGAAGATAGGCTAAAATCTTCTTTGCAAAAGTTTGTCATTCAAGTGATAGATGAGTAGTCTAAGGAGAAAGCTGGCCTGCCACTTGACTATATATCTAGGGGAATAAGCTTTAAAAGACACAAAGGATGCCAGAGAAAAGAGAAAGCTGATGGCTCAAGATTTTGAAGGAAGATGGAATAGGGCCTCAGCTTTCTCAAACCTGCTTGTGAGTCATTCCTTCAATTTCTAATAATACAGAAATAGATATGTATAAACCAAGATACAACATGTTCCTTGACAAAAAAAGATTTCAGTCTCACATTCATGATAGTTTAAAACATCTATTCCCATAAAATATTTATCCTAACAAAGTTAAAATATTTATATAGAAATATTTTAAAAATCTTATTTGATCAGAAATATAGAAAACTTTGGTAGAATTATTCCCAAAGCACATCACATTTTCATCTGCCATTAATGTAAGAGCACTCATGAGATCCTCCTGATAGCTTCTCCCTTTTACCAGGTGAGCATTTCCTGTGACTCAAAAAACTGCTGGTGGTAAGATCCAGAGAGAGAAAAGTCTTGTCTCATTAGAAGAAAAATATCTCACATCTTTGTTGTTAAAAAAAACCCAAAACCCAAAAACCAAAACAAAATCTACCATGACAACAGATGAAATACCACAAAAAAAGAAATAGAGAAAAACAATATAAGACAGTTTTGTGGTATGATCCCTCTTCGTCACACTCCATTCAGTCTGCTTCATAGTTATTTTCTACATATAACAAAGCTGTTTTGGGTTGGGGATGTAGCTCAATTTGGAGAGTACTACCCTTTCATGAAACCCTGGGTTTGATCCTCAATGCCTCATAAACCAAACAAGATAACACAAACACTGGGGAGGTAGAGGAAAGAGGATTAAAAATTCAAAGTCATTCTCAGCTATATAGTGAGTTTTAGGCCAGCCTGGGCTACATAAGACCTCATTTTAAAATAATAGCTAATTAATAAAACTATTTATACATTTTAAAAGAAATATTTCTTTTCCTTGTTCTCCCCTCAATAAGTGTTCACCTCTAAGTTTGTGGCGATTGAAGCAGAGAAAGATAGGGATAAGATGCCAGCAAGGTATGACAGTAAGAAAAAGAAGTTAAGCCTAGTGGCAGACACTTGTCAATCAAGCACTCAGGAGTTCGAGGTAATATGACCATGAGTTTCAAGTTAGCCTAGGCAAATGTAGGTCAAGTCAGTAGAGTGCTCACTTGGCCCTAGGTCCCATCCAAGCATCACATAAACCAACCATGGTGGTACATGCTGGTAATTCTGATTGAGGTAGAGACAGGAGTATCAGAAGTTCAAGGCAATCCTTGGCTGTACAGAGTTTGGGGCCAGCCTTAGATACATGATACTCTGTCTCATGGGAGAGAGAGAGAGAAAGGGATGGATGGGTGGAGGGAGGAACAGAGGCAGACATAGAGAGACAGAGAGAGAGAGAGAGAGAGAGAGAGAGAGAGAGAGAGAGAGAGAGAGAGAGAGAGAGGAAGAAGGAGAGAGAGGGAAAGAGAGAGGGAGGAAGAGAAAGGTGAGGAGAGAGGGAAGTATGGTTTTGTTTAAATGGTCTTAGGATCAGTGGATCTGTTCCCATTTTGAACTGGTGCCACAAAAGTCTGGTTCACATTGCTTGTTAGCACCAAAGTGAAGAGTGATAAATTCTTGGAAGAGACTTAACAATACTGTTCTAAGCCATTTTATTTTCTTACTATCACAGACTAGGTTTTAAAGGGCACACTCATGGCTGGAACGCACAAGAAGATCCCAGGCTATTTTGTACTAGTAGGGAGGAGACCCTTCTGCAGCTGAGTAAATCATACTTAAAATGTGCCACACCAGAAAATACAAAACAGTGAATCCAAGAAAGAGAAGCCCAATTCTCAAACAGTTTTCACAGTGACTTCAAAGTATGCTGATGCTTAGGGGAGCCCTGGACTTTACCAGACTGTGTGCCAGAGGAAAGGCATATCTTGTGAGGACTTCAAACATATCTCTTCTGCTGTGGCCTTCCTGCTTCAATGCGAACCTCAGGTTTCTCAAATCCTAGAAGCAAAGAGAAAGCACAGCTGAGTCTTCAAGGAAAATTATAATTAACAAAAAAGTCTCTTCAGCCAGGCGGTGGTGGCACACGCCTTTAATCCCAGCACTTGGGAGGCAGAGGCAGACGGATCTCTGTGAGTTCGAGGCCAGCCTGGTCTCCAAAGTGAGTTCCAGGAAAGGCGCAAAGTTACACAGAGAAACCCTGTCTCGAAAAACCAAAAAAAAAAAAAAAAGTCTCTTCAATTAAGGGAGAAGATTCACTTACATATAAAGGCAATTTATCTAGACCAGTAAGAAAATTACATTTTTCTATGATATCTTGACTTAGTTCAGTTTAAGAAGACCTGGAGATAGTCCCACTCTAGCCAAGAAAGTAAAGACTAACTGTAGCTAGAGTCTTCCTGCCAGGCCCACAGTCAGGACAAATCTCTCTCACCTGCCAGTCCCACAGCCACTCAGACCCGACCAAGTAAACACAGAGACTTATATTGCTTACAAACTGTATGGCCGTGGCAGGCTTCTTGCTAACTTTTCTTAAAGCTTAAATTAATCCATTTCTATAAATCTATACCTTGCCACATGGCTCGTGGCTTACCGGCATCTTCACATGCTGTTTCTCATCATGGCGGCTGGCAGTGTCTCTCTGACTCAGCCTTCCACTTGACAGCTTTATTCTCCTCCTTGTCCTGCCTATACTTCCTGCCTGGCCACTGGCCAATCAGTGATTTATTTATTGACCAATCAGCAACACATTTGCCATACAGACCATCCCACAGCACTTCCCCTTTTCTTTTTCTCTTTTTTTTTCAAAAAGGAAGGTTTTAACCTTAACAAAGTAAAATTACATATAATTTGGGAATTTGGGCGTAGCTTCTCTCACTACTTCCTGCTGGAGGGGGGCGCTGTATCTTATGGGGACACAAAGAAAATTTTAGGATTATGGAATAGTCCATGAGGCTCTATCGTCTGAACCAGTTGCCTTCAAACCATTCTGGATGTTGGAGACCTTTCAGGGGGTCTTGGCTGGTTAAACCTGATGTATCTTAATCTGGAACAAATCCATAGCCTCTGGCTTTCTGTGGGAACAAAAGCAGAGTCTCCTTTCCAAAGCAACACATACTTACATCCAAATTTTGAAGTCAAGGTATCTCTAAAATATACATATTGGTTTAACTCAACATCTTTTACAATCAAATGTTTTTCTGCAGTTAAAAATCCCAAAGACAACACAATCCAGATTCTCTGTGTAATATTTATCTTTACATGGCTTATTTTTTATATTAATTTTACTGTCTCTTTAAAGACTTTATTTTTTAAAACTATGTATTTGTTTATATAAATGTATATATCACCTTTTTTGTCTCTTTTAAGCCTACGTATATTTTACCCACATTGTAAACTATTACATCTGAATCTGTCTTATTGTGAATCTATTGCTTTAAAATGCAGCTGCTGTGGCTGCTGGCTCCGCCCATCTCAGCTTCCCAACATGGCGGTGGCACGTCTACCGCCAGCTCTGGGAGCCATTGTGGGTCTATGCTTTTATCCAAGTAGTGTGTAGTCCAGAAACCTCTGTTTTTGTTTTGTACTAGCAAAGGCTAAATCCACCACGCAGCTTAATGTGCCACTTGCAGAGGCCTCATTCCCGTCATAGGGCATACGCTAGGAACCCACAAGTAGCTCAAACTGGCAGCTGCCGCTCATTTGAGAGAGACAATTAGGAACTATTTTTAGCTCCATTTTAGAATCTTTTTTCTCAGTTTTTAGGTAGAAACTCTTGCCCCACATTGGGCGCCATTTGTAGCTAGAGTTTTCCTGCCTGGCCCACAGTCAGGATAAATCTCTCTCACCTGCCAGTCCCACAACGCAGACCCAACCAAGTAAACACAGAGACTTATATTGCTTACAAACTGTATGGCCGTGGTAGGCTTCTTGCTAACTTTTCTTAAAGCTTAAATTAATCCATTTCCATTAATCTATACCTTCCCACGTGGTTCGTGGCTTACCGGCATCTTCACATGCTGTTTGTCATTGTGGCAGCTGGCTGTGTCTCTCTGACTCAGCCTTCCACTTCCCAGCTTTATTCTCCTCCTTGTCCCGCCTATACTTCCTGCCTGGCCACTGGCCAATCAGTGATTCATTTATTGACCAATCAGCAACACATTTGCCATACAGGCCATCCCACAGCAACTAACCACTTCACCAGAAACAAAAGTTTCCAAACCAAAGTGCTGAAGACAAGACAGTAGAAACACAGTCTAGAAAAAAAAAAACCCAACCATGCTTTGCTCTTCATCTGTTCACTTTCCACCCCTATGTTCACTGCTTTGAAAGGAACTTTAATTATTAAACCGTATTTAAGTCATATAAAGTTTCAAGAGTACCTGCTAACAAATATAATCTTAATATTGTTAAATGTGTCATTAAAATGCAAACACATTTTCTCTAAATGATTGGCATTTTATGCTCTCATACAAGTAATATAAGTAATAAACGTTTACTATTCGATTCTACTTTCACAGAGTTCTATATAAGCCACATTAATGTACTCTACAGTATATATCACTTTACTCTCAGGAACTATAAATTAATGATCAAAACCAGATTTTAATGGCAGCTCTCCACACACATCTCTTTAATAAGCAAGAAAGACTTTTAAATCTAAATAATATAGGGTCCTCTAATAACTGTTTGTATTAAACATAGTATTCTATACTATTTTTAAGAATGAATGTTTTATAGGTTATTTTTTTTTTCAAACAATCCATCATGGACTCTAGGACTATCTAAGGAGTGAACCTGACTCAGCCCCTGCCATCTTACATATTACAACATTCATATTTTTCAAAGGGCTTTTTGTTTATCAATAATGCTTTTCAAAAAGATTTATTCTACTTTTATTTATTTGTGTGTGTGTGTGTGTGTGTGTGTGTGTGTGTGTGTGTGTGTGTGTGTGTATGCAGGTACTTGCAAAGGCTAGAAGAGGGTATTAGATCCCTTGGAGTTAGAGGTGGTTGTAAGAAGCCCAGTGTGTGTGCTAAGAAGTGAAGTTATCCTCTACAAGAGCAGCAAAGCACTGATGACTGCTGTGCCATCTTTCCAACCCAGGAATAAATTTAAGCTTCACAATTCTTCAGTCTGAAGGGCCAGTGAAGGCTTTGCCATATACATTCCAGAAGGCAAGTAAGTATGAATAAGACTCCAAATCCAGAATGACCTAAGATCAATCATTCTGAATGCAGATGGCAGCTACTGAGCCTTGACAGCTCCAGGATCTTATGCTTTCTTTTTTTTTTTTTAATTTTTATAGCACTGAGGATGGAATCCAGGGCTTCATGCATGCCAGGCAAACACTCTAACACCCAGCTACATTTCAGGCCCATACTAAAAGTGTGTTACTGAAAAAAGTCCAAAAACAAATTTATATCATTTCCCCAAAATCTTGGGGTATTAGTTGTTAGTTTATTATAATCACGTGAAAGGAAAAGTCATTTCAATAGGATGAGATACATCCAACAGGTTTCCAAAAAGCCACAGGTATAACACTAGATAGCTGCCAACTGTCAGGCCACAAGGACCTGTAAGGAATTTTCCTTCTAACTGCCATAGGGCACTGGTAGCACTACAACATCATTCTCTAAACCACTTTTGCTCCAAATTAGACTGTTTCCAAATCAATATTTATTGTGATCTACCAGTGACTCAGAGGAATACTTTTTACATGTCAAAGCATGAATGACTCAAGTCACTTTCTGTCATCTGATTCAGATGCAATTACAGTAAAAAAAAAATTCTTTCTTGCCAGCAAGAAAACTAAAGTGAACAAGGCATATGATTCACAGGCAGCAGATTACCTAGTCTGGAACATAAATAGGAGCATACACTAACTGTAAGTCATACCTGGTCTCTTCCAGCTTGACTCATTAGGGAAGGGTAACTAGGACAGAGCCTTATGGTGTAAGAGTCTCCCTGTTAGACTCAACATGCTTGTCAACTGGATCTTATGGTGATACTCAATGGCTTAATTATTATTAAAGAAAACATGACTGTCTACCTCAATATACTATACTGTCTTTAAACCAAGTAAGTAGAAATGGGAAAGAAGAGCAAGAAGACTCTCTGACAGTATTGTTTGCCCTTCCTTTTTACAAAAAGACTTTAAACTGTTACTTAAAGTGGTACAGGTCCTGCAGGGTAATAATTCCCATATTCACAACTACATTCTCTCCTGTGGCTATATAAGGTCCTTTATAACCAAGAGTCACTCTGTGCATGCATGTTGCTACTGATGAGTGAAACCCACATGTACACAGCTATAACAATCTTATTTGGGGGAGAGAAATGCTGTGGTATCATGATAACTAACTACAGGTGCAAGGTGATATATGAAACAGGATGGCAAGTGCTTATCCCACTGCTGCAGACTTCTTTTATATCGATGTCAGGTCTGCTACTAAGAAAATGGAGTGTGCCTTTTGTGACAGTGTTTCTTGGGAGGTAATTTTATTAAAAGGTTATGCTATAATTGGACTAAGTGGCATATGCCTATAAACTCAGCACCTTGGAGGAAGATCAAGAGTTCAAGGCCAGCCTTGGCTACATAGGGGTTCCAAACCAGCTTGGATGACATAAGACCCTGCCTTAAAAAAAATGTTGCTTTATAACACTGCTCTAAGGCCTCATCTATTTGAAGCATAGGTCAATTAAAAAAAAATATTGTATGTAACACCTGAGTTTTTTTTTTCCTGGTAAGCTGTTCCTAAGCTGTTTAAGAGTGTACCCATTTATTCATTTGGGAAGGTTAATATTTAAATATGAATTTTCCTATTGATGAGGCAGCAAGTACTTTACTGGGATGACAGTCACTTCAATGTCACCAAATTATCAACCACACTGCCTTGAATGCTTAATATAATACCCCTTCCCATGAATCCTTTGAGATAAAATACAAAGACCCCTTTTCTAATTAAATCCCTATACTTCCAGGCCCCACACAGTAGCCAGTAGCTGGGATGGCAAACAAATCTTGAAAACAGCTCAGATTCCAATAGAAACAAAAGCATCTGAGGTGACGCACAGTAGAGAATCTCAAGGCAAGGGTAATCCTTTGGATTTTGGTTGCTCATATTCATGTTGATCTTTTACAATCTGGAGAGGAAAGTTGCATATTGAATTCCCAATGCAAACTAAGTTTAGGAACTTGGCTTTTTAGAAATTACAGCACCAGAGACTAGAAAATGACTTAGGTCTTAAAACAGGTTCTTTCATTAGTCCTCAGCAACACCAAGGCAAGTCATGTCCTTTGTGAACGCTTCATTTCTCTAACATACAGATAATGGGCTCAGGGTGGTCAAGGCTCAGCACCTTTAGCCAGACCATTTTGTATAGTCCTTAAGACAAGAACATTATTTTACAAGATATACAGGAGAATATGCAACAGATACATCATGTAACTCCACAGCCTAAAATATTTGCTCTCTGGACCTTTTTCTAGAAGCATGATAATCTCTGTACTAGCAAGATGTCTGACAGTCACCTGGGACACTTTCTGAGTCTTGGTCTTTAAAGCATACCTTAGCGTCAGCTCTGGGCTAGAACTCAAAGATCTACATTTCTCAAAAGCTTTCTGGATACCTTGATGCACACATTTAAGATCTACTGGGCAAATGACCTCAAAACTCCTTCTAGCTCTTTCTAGAACTGAGCACGATGCTATAGATAGTGATCTTCCCATACCTAGTACATGGAAATCAGATTTCCTTGCTAGAAAACCATTGTTCACAAAAAGGTTACCTCCGCCTATTAGGAGTTCAGCTTTGCCACTCATTGGACCATAGCAGCAAAGCTCCCAATTCTTTTGAAATTCTCCATCTATACATCTGTCTGGGAGGGTTGTGCTGAGGAAAGAATGTCAAGTTCCTAGTATGCACTTGGGTTAACACAGATACTCAGTAATTTTTTGCTGTAACAACTGGCTAAACCTTATCACAACTAATTTTCCCACTTATCACCCCCAAATAAAATATTAGGCCACTGCCACTGAAAATGGTTGTTATAGTTAAGGAGGCATCCTGCTCACAAAAGGCAAAATCTCTTGTATGCCTCCTTCCTTTCATAGTATGAAGGTGTCTAGGTGGTGATACATGGTGCCATAAAGAGCCATGAAAACACTTACTCTTTAACTCAATCATATTACTCCTAAGAACTTACAACTGTCATTTAAAAGGAAGAAAAAATAATGAACATAAGGTTGGTCAGTGGGGCCAGAAGTAGCTGGAAGGACTATCAGTCAACTCCATGAGACAGGCATATGACTATGAAAACTACGGTGCTCCAACAACCTGTGGAGGAGTAGAGTGAAACTTAAGTCTTAAGAAATGTTATCTATAAATTTTCTTCTGTACCAGCAAGCTAATGAGCTAACCACTTCTTTGTGGAAGCCTCACTCTTGACTACAGGAGGCCCCTTGTGTGGGAACTCTTCCCCCAGGCACTTTTTAAATCTCAACTCAGAAGGGAAGCCTCAAGCCTAGTTTGAGATTAACAAGATATTTTGACGATTTTGAACTCAGAGATCCACCTGCCTCTGTCTCTGAATGCTGAGATTAAAGGCGTGTAACATCACCCCGGGAAATGATTTTTATTTTTTAAGCTTACATTAATTTTCTACTACTCAATACTAATTTGTCTTTTTCTTTGTATAAGAAAGTACCAATTCTCTTACTTTACAAGTAATATCTAGACCATAGGAATTTTCTCCTCTACTTGTCGCGCCTCCCATTTTTTCAATTCTTGATATCACACCCAGAGGAACATCAAGTATTAGAGCAGAATCCTGTAATGGACAAAATTTAAAAAGTCAGTGTTTCTGTCAGTATAATAAAAACATCAAAAATGTTAAAATAATCATAAGCTTTTGTTTTTAACCTTTGGTACATTAGCCACTTAAGAGTAAAACTATGATATAGATCACACATAAGCAAGCATTACAATAGGCAAGTATGCCATCAAAATGCATCCTCAACCACTTGGCATTGCCTATAATTCCAGGGGTCTGGGAAGTCACTCACATTTATTCTCTCAAAATTACACAGATAGACATAGACAGACAGACAGACAAACAGACAGACACACACACACACACACACACACACACACACACACACACACACACACATCTGCCCTTCTCCCTGCACACCAAACAACCACTTCTTTCCTACCTTCATGTCCTTTTTCATGACCTCTAAATTTAGTTAGGGTTAATTACATGAGTATAAATGTGGTAATTTACGGGACCACGGGCAACTTATCAGTGACTGTACTATTGAGAAATATAACTTTTCCTCTACTAGCAAACATTAACTGTATATAGTTCCTCTGGGAGGGATGGGGCCATATGAGTCCTTCCAACTTCCAATGGAATTTTGATGGGCTCAGTCTTGTGCAGGTAGCCACTTCTGCTGTTGTGAATTCAAGGGTACCATGCTGTGGGATGGTCTGTATGTCAAGTGTGTTGCTGATTGGTCAATAAATAAATCACTGATCGGCCAGTGGCTAGGCAGGAAGTATAGGCGGGACAAGGAGGAGCATAAAGCTGGGAAGTGGAAGGCTGAGTCAGAGAGACACTGCCAGCCGCCATGATGACAAACAGCATGTGAAGATGCCGGTAAGCCACGAGCCACGTGGCAAGGTATAGATTTATAGAAATGGATTAATTTAAGCTGTAAGAACAGTTAGCAAGAAGCCTGCCACGACCATACAGTTTGTAACCAATATATGTCTCTGTGTTTTACTTGGTCGGGTCTGAGTGGCTGTGGGACTGGCAGGTGAGAGAGATTTATCCTGACTGTGGGCCAGGCAGGAAAACTCTAGCTACAGTACCACAGTCATGTTATGTCCAGAAGACAGCATTTTGTAGCATTCCCTCCCATCATCTGACTCATATTCTTTCTGCCTCTCTTCTGTGATGTTCTCTGAGCCTTGGAGCAGGTAATATAAATGCCCCATTTTGGGGGAGCTGAGCATTCAACTAAAAATTTACTTTGATGTTGAGTTAAGTGACCGACAGTAAGCAAAAAAATTAAAGGTAGACAGACATTTATTCTTTGAAAATGCCCTTTGGGGACACAAGGAAAAATATTCCATTCATTTTTAAATCCTCTCCTTAAAAAAAAAAGAAAAGAAAAAAGAAAAAAGTAAACTAGTATTTCTTCAAAATTATGTTTAGGTCATGAGTTTTCTATAAATTCAAATTATAAGTCTGTGGTTACATCTATACCATGGAAACAAATATATGTGTGTAACACGAATCTTAAAAGGTCTTATTAATAGAAAAACCTGGAGCCAGGTATTGGGGTAAATTCTGAAAGATCAGAGAGACAAAACAAACCACAGCGAACCTCACCTCAGCAACTTCTCAGCCGATCCTATTTCCTCAGACTGAAAGCCTCTGAGTCATTACCCGAATGGATCTCAGCTGAACTGCTGCTAAAAGCCTAAAAGCTTAAAAAGCTCTAATTCTTGGTTTTCATGCCTTATATACCTTTCTGTTTCCTGCCATCATTTCCTGGGGTTAAAGGTGTGTGCCACCATGCCTGGTTCAGTTTCCAGTGTGGCTTTGAAATCACAGAGATCCAGATGGATCTCTGCCTCCCAAGTGATAGGATTAAAGGTGTGCATGCCACCATTTTCTGGCCTCTATGTCTAATCTAGTGGTTGTTCTGTTTTCTGACCCTCAGATAAGTTTATTAGGATACACAATATATCAGCCATATATGTGCACCTAGAAAAATTTTAGGGATACCCTGCAGTATAAGTAAAGTCAATCTCAAGATACAATGCTATGTGATTCTATTTATATACCATTCTTTTTGTTTGAAGTTTATTTGTAGTCCAGATTGGCCTTGAATTTCTGATCCTTCTGCCTCATCCTCCCAGTGCTGGGGCTAGAGGCCTGTGCCACCATATCCAACTATGTAAGAGTCTTGAAATGACAAGACAGGGATTGAGCACAGGGATTCAGTTGCCAGGAGATGAGAAGAGAGCATGAGTCTGAAGAATTCTTTTGTGGTACCTAACAGTTTCATATCTTCATTATTGGTGGTGGTTACTTGGTAGCAAATGCTACAGAATGTATGAAAAGACACTCACAAAACTGTTAACATTCAAGTACTGGTTAACTGTACTGTTTGTAGTGTGCTGAGCACCTTTCCCACTCCCACCCCCTTTCCCTCCTTTTCGTGTGTGTGTGTGTGTGTGTGTGTGTGTGTGTGTGTGTGCGCGTGTGCACACGTGTGTGTGTGTGTGTCTGTCTGTGTCTGTGTATGTGCATATGTGTGTGTGTGTGTATTTGTGTGTGTGTGTGTGTGTGTGTGTGTGTGTGTGTGTGTGTGTGTGTGTAGAGGCCACAGGAATACATCAGGTGCCCTGTACTATCATTCTTCACCTTATTCCTATGAGACAGGTTCTCTTACTGAACTGCGTCTCTTCCCCCTGCAGCGCTGGTGTTATAGGTGTATGCACAGCCACAACTTGGCTTTTTACATGGGTACTGGGGTGGGTGCTGGCATCTAAATTCAGGTTCTCATGCTTGCACAGCAAGTGCTCTTACCCACTGAGTCATCTCTCTGGCCTCCTAACCTACTTTCTGGTTGATCAAACAATATAGTTATTAGAGGCAGCTCAGAGATTAGTGCATGAGACCTCTCTTTACCATTTGTACAAGATCATATGTGCTTGTGGTTATTTTGAAATAAAAAGTTAAAAAAAGCCGGGCGGTGGTGGCGCACGCCTTTAATCCCAGCACTTGGGAGGCAGAGCCAGGTGGATCTCTGTGAGTTCGAGGCCAGCCTGGGCTACCAAGTGAGTTCCAGGAGAGGCGCAGAGCTACACAGAGAAACCCTGTCTCGAAAAACCAAAAAAAAAAAAAAAAGTTAAAAAAAAAGAAAAAGAAAAAGAAAAAGTTGTTATGTAGAGAAAAACAGGACAAGCTCTTAACATGGTCAAAAGTGGCTCAAATCCAAGTTCTGACCTTTATTAGCTGGGGGACTTGGACAAGTTAGTGCTATCTCTAGGTCATACTAATCAGTACAGTAGTGATGATTTGAGATAATAGATTTAAAGGACATGGCACAATGCCCACTGGTGGTAGCCAGAATACAACGGGAGTTCTTATTGCTATCATTCTGATGATGTTAAAGTGCAGTTTTGCATTTGGAAGACATGACTATGCTTTGCACACATAGCAGATCAGTATGCTCTGGCAGAGCTTTGTCTTTGCACCTGTAAGGAGGCATGACTAGCTGTTGTATGCATTTCTATGAAATACTGTGCACTCTACAATATGACTGAAAGCAAAATGCCCAAAGAGAAAACCCTGACTTGGTAACATATAAATAGCTGTACATTATAATGTGTTTACTTCTTACTATAGTCTATCTTAGCATTACCATGCAGTGTGGTATATTCTTGGACTATGCTGAAATTTATGAGTGTCTGTGAACTGCATTCTTAAGTGTCAAACTGACTCCTAAGTATATGCACTACATGCTACATAAAAGCCTGATATTCTAATATCAACACAGAAGCAAGAAGTTTGTTTTCTTTGTTTTGAAGACAGGAAGATAAAAAGTGAGGAAAAAACCCAGCATGATATCTCAGTGGGTAAAGGCGCTTACTGACAAGCCTGAAGACCAGAGTTTCATCTCAGGAATCCACATGGTGGAAAGAGAGAACCTGACTCCTGCAAGTAGGCCACAGGTGCTCCCCAAACCCTGGAAATAAAGACTTAGCTTTTAAAACTGAGATGAGATGTTTATTTGTTTGTTTAAAATAGGGTCTCACTGTACAGCCTAGGCTGGCCTGAAACCCACTATGTAGACCACAGACTGCCATCAAACTCTTGTGATCCTCTTGCCTCCACCTCCCAAGTGCTGGGATTATAGGTGTGAACCATCATGCCCAGCTATGAGAGAACACTATTGTTCTGTAATTGCTATATAGAGGAAATTCTAGATCTCAGACTGCCCTGGTCCAACAGAAAGCAAAAAATGAAGCAATGAGGAGAAGCAGCCAGCTCCTCACCCAAAGTACCCATAGTCTAATGAAGCTATTTGCCATGCTCTTCCTGAATGACATGTTCTAGGTCTGATAACACAGCAGGCTAAACAGGAAGATCCAGGAATAGGAAAATTAGTCCAACTCTCGGGAAATCTGAGTCATCGCTATCTAAATATCATTAAATATTGAGTTTCAAAGGTCCATTCTAACTAAAAACCATGTGCTTCTGTTCCTTGAAGTTTCTAAAATAACTGAGAAGAAATATGATAAACCAGCAAAGATAATGCATTCATCCTCTCTCTTGTGAGGGAGAGCTGAAAACTGTACTGGGCACTAGGGTCTGCAAAGCTAAGTTGCAGAGTTGCCCTTCTGGATCTTAGGGTTCAGCTCTATCTGGGAGATAAGACACAGGTACCCAAACAGCAAGATACCAGGTTGCCAGTGCCAAGAGCCATCAGAAGAGTCCACACAAAATGGAATGGGATGTCAGGGAAGGGCAAGCTGGTGCCTTACTGTTTGGATTCTGTCAAAGTTCTATGGTGATGACTTCATTGGAATGAAATAACTATGATTGGAGATTGGCTGTCCAAAAATATCTCAGACTTGCAAACAGGTGCACAGGCCAGGCATTTTATAAACACACACATAGTCTGGATTTAAGAGCCAGTACCAGAATTCCCTGAGGAGTACTGGCAGGACTGGTTCACGTGAGAGGTAACCACAGAATATTTTCTGAGAAGAACACATGATTCACAAAGATTCAGGTGGCAGCACTGT